GTTGATTATTGATGATGATTGAATGGATGGATGGATGGAGAATATATATTATTTATGGATTCCGATGGAAAAAGGTTTCTCTTTTTTTTCTCTTTTCAAAAGTGAAAATTGACAAACAAAAGTTGACATTTTGTTTTTGAAACAAAAAGCAATTCAAAAAAAAGAAACAAAAACAAAAATCAAATCGATCGATAATGATTTGAAAAATCTGAAATTTGATGCCCAGATGATGAAACGAATAAACTTTTTATTTGAATCGATAATGATTTTTTTTCATTGTTGATTGGTTCCTGGAACGATAACTGTTCAATTTTTGGGTTAATAAAAGCGGGAAAAACACACACAAAAACCATCAGATTTTGATGATAAAATGATGATTTATCCGACAAAATAAAAACCAAATGTTTATAATCAACATTCTTGATGTAAAGGTATTCAAAATGAATTCAACTTTTTTTGTTTATTTTAACCATTCGTTAAACAAAAGTAAAAAACAAAACAAAATCATGCAACAAGTTATACACGGTGGCTATAGTACACGTGCTGACGTCCAACATCAATTCTCATCAATCAATCAATCAAATGAAAGCGAAAAAGAATTTAATTTAGACACTCAATTGATGTCTGTGTTACATGATGATTCAAACAGATTTTTTTTCTGTTGTTGCGAAAACAACAGTAATAAAAAAGTTGTTTTGTTTTCAGGTTGTTGTTGTTTTTAGGTTTTTTGTTGTTGTTGTTGTTTGAATGAAAAACCAACAACAACAACAACAACAGGATTGATTTGAATAAAACTAAAAAAAAAACAATCAACGATTATCGATTCTCTGGTGCAGAAAACATTAATACACAATCAATCTTTTCAAACATTTTTGTTGTTGATGATTTTATCGTCATCAACGTCGAACGAATTTCATCAACATCAACAACAACAACAACGATGACAGCAACAGAAGAAAAGTAGAAAAAACAATTGATTCACCTGTTTGCCTCATTAATTTTCCATTTCAATTCATCATAATTTAATTTATTTTGGGCAAATGAAAGTTGAGCAAATTTAGCGAATGAACGAAAATAACTACCAATGATAAATCCAACTAACCAACAAAACCAAATGCATTCAACCATTACAATCAGGAAAAAGACAAAGACATCCATTATCATCAATCCGTACTTGAAAGTACAACAGTCAAATCAGTCAAATAATTATAACCATAAAGATTGTTGTGGCTTTGTTTTTTTGCTTTTTACAGACGACGAAATCAAATCAAATCAATCGATTTAAATGTTTACCAAACCCCCCCAAAAATAAAAATCACTTGTTTGCTTGCTTGATTGAATTTTCAACTAATCTAATAATAATGCTTGTTTTGTGTGTATGGATAATGTTTGTGTAATCAATTTTTTGGTTTCTGGTTTTCTTTTTTTTTTTTAGTTTTGGATTTTTGTCGTTTTGTTTAAGTTTGCACAACTGATTTGGTATTTGGTTTCATTTTTTTTTCTTGTTGATGATAATGGATCATTTATGATTACGAAATTGATCCGGGTTTTACAACAATGAAATATTTCCAGGAACAAAAAAAAATTATTTGTTCCGGAAAAAAAAGAACGGCCGGCAAATTTCAAATCAAAATTCAAACGAGATTATTATATCGCCATCTGTTGAGACAAATCATGAACAGAATTGTATTATAACAAAGCAAAACGAATTTCTATATTTGGTTTCGAATTAAGTGTTCGAATTACTTTCATTTTGATATTCGATTAACGGTCTTGAAAGTTTTGTTTTGTTTTGTTTTATTACTTTTTTTTCAAATATGAAGATTTGGGAATAACGGAAAAGTACCTTCAAAAAAGTTTCGTTTATTGTGGAAGGAGTATTTCTATCAAGCTCAGCTATGCTCAAAGGATAATTTGCCAAGGAAGTATAATCTGATCTTGAAATTCATTCCCTGGTACGGAGGTTTCTACGAGAGACTGATCCAAACAGTCAACAAACCAGTTTGCAAGTTTTTGAGAACAGAGAAAACAAAATCACAGCCGAGAATTTTAGAACTATTCTGGCAGAAATCCAAGGATTGATAAATGATCGTCCAATTTATGTTGATCAAAACCGGAATTTAATAACTCCTTATCATTTAACGAAAAAAAAAGATTGTTATATTTTGTTCACTGTTATTTTCTCCATATTTGTGATATTTAAGAAGATATTATTCGAAAAAAATTATTAAAATTAAATCAATGTTACCTGGAAGACTTTATTCTAATATTCGAACTACAAGAAATCAAATTTTAAATCATATTCTTGATCAAATTAAGAAAAGAGATTCGACAACCGCGAATATTCAATTCAAAAATTAACAAACTTAGAATGCTCTTCAATAAAAATTCAATCTCATCGGAATGGAATTAAAGCTCTTTGATGATTCATAATTTGCACGTGTTATGGTTATTCGATTTACATCAAAAAAACAAAGATGACAAATTTCATTTTTTGTTCGATAAATAACCAAATTAGCTCCACCAAAAGCTATTGACTATTGTAGAATTGGAATTGAAAAGCTATGGCGCCAATCGTCTTGAATCTTGGCAGTGTGAAGAAGCAAAAATTATGGAAGAAATAGAAAATGAAAAATAAAGGTTTCAAAAAAAAGATTTTAAAACAATTTGTTTTGTTTTTTATTTGGTTTTTTAAAAAAATCGTATTATTTTCATTAATGCAATAGGAGATAATATGAATCAAATTAATGGATTATGATTTGGCCATCGGTATTTGTTTTGGTTGGCCTGTTGCAGATGATTGTTGTTGTTGTTGTTGTTGAGCAGCAATTTGTGCCATTATCAATTGTTGTTGTCGTTGAAGACAGCTTTGTCGAACGGCACTTTTTTCTTGCATCGATTTAACAATTTTATCCATTTGTGTATTTAAAAATTGAACTTTACGATTAAAATAATCGATTGTTGATTTACGATCACGTTCAATATAATAACCAGTACCAATATCCAACAGGAATTCATTATTATTTACTGTACGACCTGGTACATAAAGTGATGGTGTTAAAGGAACCATTATTTGATTATCATTAGGTAGTTTATCGAATGATTCAACTGTTTCATAACAACCAACAAATTTTGTTTTTGCATTATGCAAATCAACTATTGATTTCTCAAGAATCTCAATTTCCTGACAACAAGAAAAAACAATTAATCAGAGATTGAAATGGAATACTTTTCATTGAGAAATAAATTACCTGATCCAATTGTTGTTTGATTGCATTTATCTGATACAGATTCATATCGTTTATGTTTAGTTCAACTTTTTTCGGTTGTTGACTGTTTTTTGATGCCATTGTTTGATGTTTTTTGAAATGATTTTGAAGATAATTTTTCTTTTAAAAAATCGACAAGTTTGGCCACGGCTTTTGTTTTGAAAAGAAAAACATGTGTGCGTTCGATTTATATCATCATTCATATAAGATGTTACCATCAGTTTTTAATATCAAGATTTTTCAATTAAAAATATCTATTTTTTCAAAATAAAGTAAATAAATTTTATTAATCAATTTGTAACTTTGAATTTAAAATGTAATTTTAAATTTTTGGATCATAAATTGATAGAAAATCGATGATAAAATAATTGAAATTTACGGATCTATTTCTACCTTTACCAACACGATTCTGTCGATTGAGCTTTTGTCCGTGAGCGTCTTGAACATTGTCCTCTGAATTTTGTTTGGATTCTGTTTTGTTTTCGGGAATTTTTGGTCAACTTTTTATCAATAAAATGGGTGGTCATGATCATGGCAATAAAGTACAAAAAACTTCGATTTCAGAAGAAGAAATTCGTAAAATTTTAACACGAGCAAAAGCTCAGATACCATCAGAATCACCGAAATTTGCTCATAGTCCAAGTTCAGGTGTTTTACATACATCGATCGAAGGTGCTTTCAGTAATGAACGTGCTCGTCTTGGTCCAACATTTACCGAAACTGATCGTCAATGGCGTATAAAATATCTAGAATCACAAAATCTTCATCCAGCTGAACCATTTGAAGTTCCAGAACTTTCAAAAGTTCATTACAATCCAATTCGACGTTTTTATCGTTGGCCATTAGATCAATTGGAAAAATTTCTTCGAAATCACATGGTTTGATCTTTAATTTTTTAACTATTTTCTATTATCTAAAAAACTGTTTTAATATTCCAAATTTAGCAAACACATAATGCTGTTTTTACAAGAAAAATTATCGGTGGAACATTGATCGGTTATTTTACTTTACTAACAATATGGTATCAATTAAATTATAATGTACCAAATTGGGAATATAAAAAAGGTTATCGTATATTTTATACACGTGAAGCTGTAATGCCTGGTGATTCACGTTGGCCAATGCCTAATCCACGTAAAGAATCATGGCAACATTATGATTTAGATTTTCATTATCGTAATGCTTTACGAAATGATCCAAAATAGATTTTTCTGAAAAAGCAACGAAACAAAAAAAACTAACAAATTTTAGTTCATATTTGTTTGTTTGTACATGAAGAAATGTCCCAAAAATGATTATCATCCATATATTATGATTGTTTTTTCTCAAAAAATGCTACTCGAATTTAGATAATAAAAAAAAAAGTTATAAATATGATTGAAAAATTGATATACCTTTTTGTTTTTGTCTTTTTTCATTTTTGGGAAAAAATATGAAAGCAGAAATATTGAAGAAAACGATTGAAAAATAATCAATCATTATTTATTTGATAATGATCATTATATGATTAGTATCATTATTATCATCATCATCATTATCAACAAACAAAAAAAAGAAAACTTATGAATTCCAAACTTTCAAACTAATAATTATTATTATTTTTGGATCGATCGATATTTTGTTAATATATTTTCAATGATGATGATGATCAATTTGTCTTTTTGTTGTATACTTTTAGTTTTTTTTTGTTTTCTATCTCTGTTTGTTTTGTTTGCAAATTGATCATTGAAAAAAAAAGTGAATAGAGAAAAAAGATTTTTTATTATTATCATTATGAAGACAACAACAGGAGAAAATTGGTAATGATGAATTGAAATATTAATTTGTTTTCGATGACACTGGTTGGTTGTTGGTTACAAATTATATCGATCGATCGATTGAATTAATTTTTTGGTTTTTTTTTGTTTTGATATTCATTTGTACAGAATTTGAAAATTTTTTGGGGAAATCATTTTGCGATTCCAAATGTTTGTTTCAAATTATTATTATTTTACGATTATTATCGAAATACAATTAGCATTCAACCAGAACTTCAAATGATGATGAGAAAGTTTTTTCTGGTTTCTAATTCTTCATTCATTCATTTGTCTTCCTGGATCATTTTCAACCGAAAAATGAAAAAAGAAATAAGACGTTTGAAACGTGACAAATAATTTTCATTATCATCATTATCATCGTAGAACTAATCACAATACAACAGAATCGAAGCTATCATTTTATTCGATCGAATGAATTCGAAGACTAAGAAAATAATCTTATTAGATATGAATCTTGATCTTTATTCTTATTATGTGGTTTTTTGTTTCTGATTCAAAACGAAAATGATCATTATGTTTTTACTAATGTTTTCATTAATGAAAATTTTGAGATGTTTTTGTAAATTCATCCAGAGATGAATTATATTTTTTGATTACAAAATGGTTGTTGTTGTTGTTTTGCTTGTTCCATCACCATAACCCTATCGCAACAAACACATGATTTGCATGAATTAATCTTTTTTAACAATGTTTTTTGTTTCCGGAAAAAAAATTCCAAAGAAATTGCCATTAACAGTGTGTGTATTTGTTATTTACCATTTGGAATCAAACTTGACTGATTTGTATTTCAATGGGAAATTCAATCAATAGTTTTTGCCAGCCAAACAAAAGAGGAAATCCTTGAAATCAGAAAAACAAACACACACACAGCATGAATGAATAGCAACCAATTTTTTCTTGTTTTTGCACCATGATGATAATGATAAAACCATTAAACAATCGGACAGTGTAACAAAAACAAATTGAGACATTCACTGTTTCAATTTGAACAAAAAAAAAACAACAACAACAACACTGGGTTAATTTGAATTCAAAATGACCAGAAAACAAACGAAAATCTGGATCATTATTGAAAAACATATTTTATCAATAAAATTGATAAATAGCCACCATTTTCGGATTCAATTGTATCATCATCATCATCATCATCATCATCATCATTTGATTTATGATTCAAAAATTTCAATTCTCAATTCAATTTGAAAACCGATTTGTTGTTGTTGTTTGTTGTTCAATTACCGGCTTCAAAAAAAAATATCCGAAAAAAATATCCGAAAAAAATATCCGGGTGTCAATTGATCGATGATACATATTGAAAAACTCAAAAAGTTAAAAGTTTTCAAAAATCGGATTACGTTTTTTATCCTTTTCTTCTTCTTTGCACCACCATCCAGAAAAACGACAAAAAACCTGCACCGAATTGGAAATGAAAAAAATTTATAAAAATTTTGTTATGAAAATCGTATCATTAACGCATCCCTTCCTATGGATCATTATTATTGTCAAATTTTTTTTGTTTTTGTTTTCTTGTTTGCTGAAACAATGTTGATTTGATTTCGGATTTCGTTTGATATATTTTACCTTTTATTTCTCCCTGATGATGATGATGACTTTGATATTTTTGATATTTTGTTTTGTGTTTTTTCTCGCCCTTAATACCCGTAATGTGTATTTGTTTGTTTTGTTTCAAACAATGGATTTTCAATGGATTTTCTTTCTTGAAACAGCAGAAAAAAAA